ATTCACAACTGCAGCCACATTTAAATAGTAGAACCACCAGCATTTAGTGCCTCTTTTGGAATAGTTTCATAACACTGCTATTGCTAATGCTGATTTTGGTAGAGACAAGGCAATTAAGGTCTGCTTCCATCATCTGTGTGACTGTCCCTCAGGCATTTACCAGCGCTCACCGGTACTTGGCTGCATGGATGCTTGGCCAGTGTTGTGCTTTATATCGAAATAGAGAAGACATTATGAAGGTATTGTATCAGAATATGGATACGATGAAGCTGAAGGATCAGTTTTCTGGCCAAGAAATGAAATGAAAGAACTTTGGCTTTGGATGTGTGTGGTGGTACTGCAGCCAGTATGAAGCGGAAAGAGGCACAGACCTTTTTGCTTGACTTCTTACCACTGTGCTTTTCAGGTTAAGGGGGTTAAGATATACTCAGCTGTGTTTTCAGCTGCTACAACACCGTGTGTTATTTGCTAATGCCATATGTTGTCTGTGCGATAACAAATGTCCCTTTCCCTTCCCTGCCTGGAATCACAATAAAGGAATGTGTCCAATACAGCGAGGAATTATTTACTTCTGCTTTTGCTACTAAAGGAAGAGCAATACCCACCTTTCAGTCCATCTTCTCCAGTACAATATTCTCCTATTTTCCCTTCACATTTGCCCTCCTTTTGGGCACGGGATCAAGATGACTTGTGTACAAGGGCCAGCAGCATTACACCAAGATGCAATTTGGCTCTGAGCATGTAAAAATGACAGGATAAAAATGACAGGATGTCCCACACGCCAACCTGGCGCTCCCCTGATGGCAGCCAGATCTCAGGCATCTTCTGGTCTAGTGCCAGCATCTTTTTACTGTAGAGATACAGTGAAGAAAACCCTCCAGCTTGTCCTTAGCATGCAGCTTGTCAGGTCAAAAGCGTCCTGGGAAGTGAGGAACTTCAGGGAAGGCTAAAGTTGAGGCAGTGATGTTCTTCACCAAAACCACGAGGGTGGTGTTGTTTTTTACTGAGAGAGCTCGTGGCCATGCACACAGAAGAATGTTTCTGCTGTACTCTGGCACGGGTTCCATCCCTCAGTTCAGCTGACACCCCAAATTCCCCTTTCTCGGTGCAGTTTCCCACTCAAGTTCCCTTTGTGCTCCCACAGACGTGCTGGTATGGAGGTACCCTTTGCTTACTTGATTTATTAGATGCCTCAGGAATAACACTGGGGTGCAGATAAAGTAGAGAAATTAAGTTCTGGGGCTTGTCCTGTTACAATCAGACAAATATCCACGAGCCCTAAATTACCTCTGTGATTTTGCAGCTGTGTTGGTGGAGAGGCACTCCACAGTAGGGCTATGCCCTTTCCCCAACCCCCCATCAACCCTGCAGTATTTTCAGGAGACCTTTCCTCCTTCCCTAAGAGAGAAGAGATGAAGGCTTGGGTGGCTCTGGCCAAGCTGTACGGCCACGCAGCTCAGGCTGACTTTTCTTGAGTGAATTTGCTGGGTTCAGGCTTTGGATATCAATTAAAAGAACACTACTCTTTTGTCTCGTGTGTTGCCCCTCCTAAAAAATAATGAGCTGTTTAATACACTAGAGGCAATTTCAAATTATCTCCCTTAATGAGGAAGGTTGTGACAGAAGATTTATTACCCCTTCTGATCTGCTGATGTATTTCCCTAACCGTTCCAGCAGAACCAATTGCTGTATTTGTATGATAGGCTCTATTTTCAGGGGTTCATTAGTTGTAGGCTAAAAATAACACCAAAGGTCTCAGTCTGAGAGCTAATCCAATTCTTTTAATTGGAAATAAAATTTGATAAGACAACATTCGAATCGTAACAGCATCAAACATTAAGACCCTCACTGGGCGTTCTGTCCAAATTGGAACTTCATGTGACTGCACAGAAAGACCTGACCTAGAAACACCATTGCATCACTGCTAAAAAGGACCAAACCCAGCCTCCTCATTAAAAAAAAACCAACAAAACAACTCACTTTTGTACAAGCAATGGATGGTAGTCTAGTCCAATGGATGCACTCAGAAAAAAAGGTTTGGCAGTGAACCTGTTCAGCTGAAGCAAACTCAGGGATGCTCTTAGCTAGAGGCTGGTTTAATGAGAACGGGGAAACGACTAGGATTTCTTTTCCCATGGAAAGAATTAAAGAGAAGAGAAGGAAAGTAATATGGAACAGCTCCCAGCTGGGCGTCCTACCTCTGTGCTGGATTCAAACCTTGCTGAAGCTGCTACAGCCCAGCGATGGCGTTGTGCCGGGACATGAATGACGGTGCGTAACACGAGCCCAGGGCTCTTCCTGCTGCATCATTCCAACGGCCACAGACCTAACAGGGAGACAAATGCTGTGGGTCTTACAGGCTGTGCTCCTTGCAGAAAAGGAGAGAAAGCCTTGCTTTGGAGTTCCCAGGGAATTCACGTTCCCTGCGGAATTCGTGGCAGCCAGCCTGAAGGGAGCTGGGGCCGAGGAAGCCTTTGGGGCTGCTGGCGCATCACAGGTAGCCGGGGGGTTGTTAAGATGGATGCAGGGAACAGGGAAGTCGTTGCGACTCACTTCAGCCTCACCCTATAGATTTTATATGCATCAATTATATATTTACATCTCAAACTCTATTATTCATCGAGTGGAGTAAACAGGCATTGATTTTTGCGCTGCAGCACAGCCGCGTGTTTCTGAGGGTGGTGTCCTCTGTAACCTCGTAACCCTGACCTCATCCGCGCTTCCTGAGAGCAGGATTTCACGTGGGTCATCAAGCTGACCAAATCTGCAAGCAGCCACAGTCTGAATGGCAATCGATGGGCTTTCCGTTCTGAACGGGCTCCTCCACCCACCCCACGTCACACACAGCTGCCAATGCACCTCTAGGATGCAGCAGCAGCCAGAACGAGACGGAAAGGACGCCTGCCGTGGTCTTGGTTTGTCAGGCAACAGCAGCTCTCCCACCTCAGGGAAAGAGAAACGTGGTGGCTGTGTGGATGCAGCACCAAGAGCTCACACAGTGCAGCTCAGAAGGCTCCTGCAGTCAGCAGGTGAGCTCCCTACAAACCTTATGATGCTTCCAGGTGCACGTAAGGGGGGCAGAGAGAAACCCTGAATTGCATTCTGGAGCCCTGCCTTATTTCAGAGGTGAAGAAAAATGACCGACTTCATAGCTGGCTTGGCTATATTGAATCAATGTACAAGTTCCTTATTGGATTTTTATTGCAGATAAAATTGACAGAGAAAATCACTGGGATATACTTAAAAATGGGAAGGAAATGTGCGTTCCCAATAAAAAGGTCTCTGAAGGTCTCTTGTTTCATAGGAAGGAAGCTGTCTTTATATTACATGAACTATAAAAAATGATTAAAACTGAAGAGAGACAGGAAGCTGATAATTTGATTTATCATCTTAATGGCTATGATTCATGAATAAATAATATAATGGTTTATGTCTCTCTTGTAAAAGAAGTAGAGAAGAGCAATTTGTCTAACAAATGACTTCAAAAATTACAGCTGAGCCTTGTTTGCCACATTTGTTCTATTTAAAAAGAATGAGCCAGTATCTTACGTCTTATTACTTACTAGGACATTTGTTGTATTATTTATAAGAGTCAAAAACCTTAACTAAAAGCCACTCATCTCTGACCACAGTCTCCCATTAGCTTTAAATCCAGGAAAGAGAAAGGGATTGATCACTGGATCAATAAATCTAGCCTTCGAGCTGACTAAAAGCTTCCTTTAGCCTCCTTCCTACAGCATCCTTTTTCAAAATTAAAGCATCCCCCTTTTTAATTATTGAAGAAGGCATCGGTTTTACAGTAAGGCCACGTGTGTCTGCATCACACAAGGATTTCTTTTTCACGTTGGAAACAAACCAGCATCTTTAAAAGAAGAACATTTCAATTACGGTCGCTAGGTTCAGTTTTTTAAACGTCTACTAAAGATAGACACATCCTTCCCAAATGGGCCTCAGATTTAAGTGTGACAGCTGTCGAGAATAGGAAATTGAGAAGAAACGTATACTCCAAATCACTGGACAGACAAACTACCCCAAACCCATCCTGGGAACAGAACGAACAGTGTTTGATGTTTTCAAAGCACCCTGTAAAAACAGCTTGTAGACGCCGTTTGCTCAGCCTGCATCAAGGAGTCCCTTTATCAGAATCATTTATCAAAATCAGATCCCTCTTCCTTATCACAGTCGGTTACACTGATGTAAGGCATCACCCTCCCACAGAACCACAAAATAACGTAGGTGAGCCTTCAAAGCAACAGAAACCACTTGATGGACAGAATTCCTGCATAGAGTTGGCTGGGTGTCTCCTCTCCAAGCAGGGGCCTGAAGCCAGGGCTGCTACTGAGGGACGACTCCATCAGCTGCGTGCCTGCTGGCACCTCAAGCACTTGTATTTCTCCACACCTTTCTTTGTTCCATGTTCAATCTTTATCTGACAAGAACCTGGGATGACAAAACAGAAGTCCTTACCCTGTTTCTGAGGCTTTCTGAGAGATCCGAAGGGCTTCACTGCTGATCTCCAAGACTTGGTTATCTTTGGAATATCCTTCAGATGGATGATGCGAGGTGTTACAAAGGATTGTTTGAGCACCAGTGAGACTGTTATTCACAGAATGATAGAATGGCCTGGGTTGCACAGGAGCACGGTGCTCATCCAGCTCCAACCCCTGCTGTGTGCAGGTCACCAACCAGCAGCCCAGGCTGCCCAGAGCCACATCCAGCCTGGCCTTGAATGCCTGCAGGGATGGGGCATCCACAGCCTCCTTGGGCAACCTGTGCCAGTGCCTCACCACCCTCTGGGTGAAAAACTTCCTCCTCATATCCAACCTAAACCTCCCTGTCTCACTTTAAAACCATTCCCCTCGTCCTGTCACCATCCACCCTCACAAACAGCCATTCCCCCTCTTGTTTATCCACTCCCTTCAAGTACTGGAAGGCCACACTGAGGTCTCCCTGGGGCTTCTCTTCTCCAGGTTAAATCCAGTTAATAAGAACAGCAGGAAGAAACTTCTGGATGACCATGCTTTGCACATTGTAAAATCAGTTAATTTCTACAAAGCTTATTAAAAAGAAAAACAAGGAGAGAGGGGACATAGGTTTTAGCAAAATAGAGTTTTTGATTTCTCACATCTCATGAAAAACTGGGTACTTCATGAAATACATCTCTCAGACTGCATGCACACACAAAATTCAGACTGCACCAAGGTCACACTCACAGTATGATCTGGACGATTATAACAGGAAAAAAGCACAGGGTGAGCTTCCACAGCCTGTTCATTAGGACTTTCTGTGTGATTTCAGATCATAGAATGGCCTGGGTTGAAAAGGACCACAGTGCTCATCTAGTTTCAACCTATACGCAGGGTTGCCAACCACGACACCAGGCTGCCCAGACTCACACCCAGCCTCGAAAGGCACTATTTTTACTTGCAGCACCTTCATCCCTCATCTGCTATACTACATAGGGCTCCTAAAAACAGAGAGCTGTAGACATTTTTGGGGTAAGCGATGCATCAACACCCTGTGGCTGCCAAAGCAGTGTAGGCTGCAGAAGGAACGACACTGAATTGACAGCAAGTTGCAGACCTGAGCCCTAAAAGGTTCTTTCATGACCTTTCATCCTGAAGGGACATTTCTCAGATGGCTTTGAAAGAGCTGGTGGCCTTTGATACGTTCCAAAGCGGATGAGACTCTTGGCTGAAATCTACGTTTTGTGGACTTGTAGGAAACATAATAATGGGAACTGCCATCTGAAACTGAGCTGAACTGTTTCTGAAAGACTGCTTGTAGCTCTCGAATCACTAAAATCAAGTCAGATTTCAAGCCAGTTACTACTAATTTTGATTGCAGCAGCGCTTTGTATTGACAGGCAAAAACAGCAAATTTGTCCCCTGCTATTCTTTCATTTTGTGTAAGGAAAATGGCAGGGATAGATCAAGAAGAAATAGATTTACTAATAGGAAGCTGCTCTTGAATAAACACAGCTTATGCAAAAATTAGTATCAGTTGAATGGAAGCAGCACAAGGAAAACATTGCCCAAAAAAAAAAAAAAAGAAGTAATTTTTCTGACATCAGTCATACAATTATCATTTGCATGTGGAGGAGGGAGACTCTCAGCTGGTATAAACTGTTCTAAGTGCATCAATAAAGCCATGCTGATTTATAGCAGCTGAGAGTTTGTCCTGCAGCTCATTCATCCATGTGCGATGCGATAGATTGATGCGTTTGCATTTTCTCCCTGGAGACTTTGGTTCAAAACCTGTTTAAAACACAGTGAAAACAAACTGGCTGGTCTCTAAGCAGATGTCCCTGGAAATCTATTTACATCACAGTGGCAGCAGTTCAGGGGAAAGGGTGTTCTTGTGCAGGGGCAGCGTGGGCAGGAAAGCAGGTCCCCAGTGGAGCTGTATTGCAGAGCTTCCCTGCTAACTCCTCAACAGGCAGCTTCCAGGACAGATCTGCAAATTTACAGCATGCAGCACCAGGTGAAATGGAAATATTCAATGAGAAATATTGCTTGTGCTCCTGTAGCCCTTACTCTGCAACCCAGGAGCAGGACTGGGCTGTGCTGCGTGCTCCCTCTTTTATCCTGCGTATGTATTTTACGAGCAACTGCCCATTTTGGATCTTTTCCACACATAAAACCAGTGACAGCAGCAGATCTGACTGTCCATCACTACCTCAGGACACAAGATCAGCTAGTTTCATACCCACAAACTGCAGGGTCCTTAAGGAGGTGTCTTCTTCCTCCTCCTCCCACGCTGTGCTTTATCGTTTCAGAAGCAGCAGCTCCTATAGAAAGGAGTTTGTTCCTGTACTCAGCACTGGCCTCAGCTTGAATTGTTTTTCCCCCTCCCTGGTGTTCAGTCCCCTGATGTATTTATAGAAAGATCATATCCTCTTTCAAACTTCATTTTGCTAGGAATAGTAATGTTAGAAATAGATTGATGAAATTACTGTATTAAAGACAGACATACACACAGACACAAGACTAGAGACTCATTTTAAAAGAAATGCAGAAAATACAGATGAGTCAGTCTTCAGTTAACAGTGCATTATTTCAAACATGTCAGCAACAGATGGAAATACAATATAAAAGATGGATCAAGTTCAAATCCAATTTCTAAGGTTTTTCGATCTAAAGACTATCCATCTATAGAAATACCAGAAAGCCTACCTGAAATTCCATAAAACTAGTTTAGGAACAGTACCAAAAGCCCACAAGGAATATCATTTCTAAAAGAGAGCTGGGAAGACTCAAAGTACAGTTGGATAAAAAAGCCTTAAGCAGAGGCCTGTTTGGGTTGAATGATCTGCAGAAAGAGGAAGAAAAACGTCAAACTGCCATTGAAAAGGAACTTAAAGGGAGGAAGGACTGACCACACAATTCACCTGTTTAGAGACCATTTCATTCTGTCACAAAAATAGTTTCTAGCTTTGCTGCTCTGGTACATCGATCCTGAGTACTCTAACTTTTGATTTATAATGGTATTCCTTCAGATACAGCTTCACTGATGGAGGAATAGGCAGTGCATCAATACCATCGTAGGTCGTACAGTTGCAAATAACTGTTCTACATATATGCTGAAGGGAGAAAGGGAAAGTCCTGTTCAACGGAGTGGACAAAAGCGGTTCGAAGAACATACAGGAGCTTGGATCCTTATAGTGCTCTAGGAGTCCCGTGATGTCAGGAGAGTGGAAGACACAAGGATCGTGGGCATCAAAGCTGAAGTTATGATTCCACTGCTCTATCCGCGCGTGCAGAGAGCGGCTGTAGCGCCTGAAGCTCACGGAAAACAAGTAGTCTTCCTGGGCAGAATCTCGTAACAAAAACGTTCCCTCTGGCTTTCCTTCCAGCAGTGCTTCGGCTGCATACTTATCCATGACTCCCCAGTAGCAGGGGTTGTTGTTGATCTGCAGGAGGTCTGGGACTAGGCAGTGCACATAATCGATCTGCGTATGGTATTTCGGAGGCGTTTCCATCCGCAGCAGCTCATCGTCGGTTTCCCATTTGGGCTTGTTTCTTTTCCTAGAGCTTGTGCACAGCGTTACAACTTCATCGTCGGAGTCCATGTCGCTGTCGTCTTTACTGCTCCTTACCACCTTCCCTGCCGCCAGCTCGGACCGTGAGTCCCGCCTGGAGGGAATGCCATCAGTAAGGTCAGAGGATGGGGAGGGAGCCGATGGGGGATCGGACTCTATCGCATTGTCTCGTAGGTCCTCCTCCTTTTCCTCATTCTGGGATAAGTCAGCAATTGTCCAGTCTTCTGCTTTTTGGCTTATAGGGGCTGTATGCCTTTTAATCAAGTGCCACCGAAAAGCGAGCTCCGAGCGTGGAGGAAAAGGGCACTTATCTAGCATCAACTCACTGATATGAATTTTTCTCTTCGATTGAAGTCCTGAGGCGTGCCGACTGGTACAATTTTTGATGGGAAAGCACTGACCCACAGCATCTTGCAGTTTTTGTTTGAGAGACCGGCCTAAGAACCTGTGTCCACACGAACGATCTAGATCCAGCTCGATAGAAGAGCAGCTATACTTTCTCTCCTGGCTCCTTAAATTAGGCCCTGACCTTCCTGCAGCGTTCGCCATCTCAGTGTCAGAACAGCGCTCAGTCTTTTTCGACCAGGAGAGTTTCTTTCCACTCCAGACATAACCATCCTTTCTGTCTGCACTCCTGCTCCGGCTGCTCTTGGGTCTCACATCTGTGTTTTTAAGGTTACTGTCCTTATTCTCTGCCATTTCGACAGCTCTGCTCCCCAAGTTTCCAGAAAGCGCAGTTTTTTCTTGCAGGGTTTTCTACCCAAGGAAGCTTCTTTGTGGTGCTTTCTGAAAGTATCTGAGGACAAAGAGAAGACAGCTAAGTTAACAGCTTTGCATGCACACAACACAAGATGAATGCCTGTGTATGCATGACAACAGCGACAATTAATTGTTAGCCACCTATAAATAATGATCAAGCTGAATTCTTGAGAGCCCTCCACAAATCCTGGTCCGATCCCAGCCAAGGATCTTAAGCCTTCCTTGTAAAAAGCATCCTCCAGAATAAACAATTTGATGTATCTTTAGAGCCCCTATTCTGACTATGCAGCAGAGCAGAAGGTTGGAGGTGCTGGTAATTCTCTTTTGCAAGGGAACATTTGAAGATGAAGCACTTCACATGGCAGGTGACGCTGCTTTAGTTGTTTTTCGAGCAAATTCTGCATCTCTTCCAAATATCCTTTCAAGAAGAAACAAGGCAGTGCAGAAACAAGTAGGTCAGAGTACAAAGAGCTACTGTACCTAGATGATACGCCTGTTTGCTGCTAATCCACAGAGTGGGATGCCAGAGATCTTTTTCTTAACTGACACTTTTGGGTCACTTTCTGGATAAAAAAAAATAAATTCTATCAGTCACAGATTCTGCCAATTTCTGAAAGCTGTTTTCCTTTGCCTTTTAAACCGGAGCAGGAAAATACTGAGCCCCCAAGGGATTGAAATATCTGGGGCTTTACATACTGAAAAGGATTAAAACAAATCCAGTCCTTTACTAAAAGCAATTTTAAAAGGCCATGAAAGATGGAACCGCTTATTACTCATTAGAGAAGAAAGTTTACATTATTAAAATCACTGCTGCTTTGAGACCCACAGTTGCTGATTTCATTCGCTTTTGTTTTCAAAAATGCAGTGAATTCTCAACTAGATAAGAGATCTCCTTTTGAATGTTGCTCTTTGAAGAACAAAAATTCCTCTTTTGATTGCTCAGTTGAAAGTAGAGCAGAGATATTTCTTTTTTTAAGGAACATAGGCAGCAATATGCTGTGTATGATACACCCTGCTGAGGCATGGCAGGATGCAGAACTGCTTTCCATCACACACCACCATGCCTTTGCACCAACATGAGATTCCGAGCCTGCTGTCCACCGTTGGCTTTTAAAACTAATTGACCTGGTAAATATTAAGCAGGAAAAGAAAAGGGCATCCACTTCCTCTCTCCATTCAATTCGTCCTCATCATTAGGATTAGCCAGCATGACACAATCTCCCTGCAGTCCCCCAGGGGCTGAGCAGGCTGAGGTCTTGCCTCTGCTTTCAGTAAAGAGAAAGCCTGCTGTGCCAGAGGCTTACATGCAATCTGCAGACCAAATGCAACCCAGATGGAACTTGCACTGAGAATTTTTGACATTGTGTTCATTGCTTACAATCCACAAACCTGGGGGGGGGTGGAGAGGAAAAGGGAAGGGAAAGGTGGAGCAATGTGAGGAGATGAAGGAATGTGGAATGATGGTAAGAGAGAAAACATTGCAAATATGTGGGAAAAAAAAACAACCCTAGTGTTAGAGGCAGCTGGATGAACAATCCCTCAGTGGTTGTGGAAGCAGAGAATGTGTCCACATTTCAGCAATTACAAATCATCAAATATTAAAGACTGTTTTCTTCTCTCAAGGTTTTACACACCACTTTTCAGTGAAAACACTGCAGATGTAATACTGACAGAAGAAAGACTGCATTTAAGTGAAACTTAAACTGCCTTTATTTGGACCAAAACTCAGTGACTGCTTCTGCACTATCTCTATTTTTCATCCAGAGTGGAGCACTGAGTTTTCTACGCAATGACTGAAAAAAAGCCCCATAAACCTCTTCTAGATTCAGTCTGTAGGAATCTACTAACTCTATACATGGCATTTTTAATTGGAAAGGGAAATCTCATTTCATAGAATCACAGAATGGCCCGGGTTGGAAGGGACCTCAAGGATCACGAAGCTCCAACCCCCCCCTACAGGCAGGGCCACCAACCTCCACATTTCACAGCAGCCCAGGCTGCCCAGGGCCCCATCCAACCTGGCCTTCAACACCTCCAGGGATGGACGGGGCATCACAGCCTCTCTGGGCAGCTGTTCCAGCACCTCACCGCTCTCACAGCACAGAACTTCCCCCTGGCATCCAACCTCAATCCTCCCTCTATTTAGGGTACAAAGTCAGGTACTTAAAAATTAGGATATGACAGTTTGTAATTGACTTTGAAACCTTTAATTACCTCATCCTGCACGCCCAGACCGTATAAGGAGTAAGAAGATGCAGAATATGGGATTTTAATTAAAAACTTTGAAACATACAAAACCCAAAAGTACTGAAAAGGTCTGATATCCCCCGGCATGACAGCACAGCATTACCACTGAAATTACTTTGGTGTTTTCTGTCATCTCTGCCTTGTTGAGCTGTTCTTGTATTTAATTGCAAAGCCATGTTCCACTTCCTACCTTTCCTCCATCACGTCCCAGTGGTATCTGAACCCTGCAACTCAAAGTGAAGCGATAGCACATGATGTTGTAAGACATGCACCATTAGCCAGCAGCACAGAAAGCTGCTCCCAGGGGCTGACGGCTGCTGGGAGCAAGGCACAATCCTGCCACGTCACAGAAGTAATCATTTATCAGACATCCATGGAAAGAGTGCAGAGTGGGTGAAGAAAATGGGACATCATCCTACTAAGGCCAAATCTGAATCTGACCTTGTGGAAGAAGAGTGAAGGATAGCTCAGCACGCATCCCAGCACCACATGGAATGCCCAAATCCCTCTGTCTCATGTTCCAACTAGGAGTCGTGCCTTCATACTTTTCCCAATCCACGACTAAGAGCCTTGTCTGTAAAATGGCAACTGAAAATATTTTAGGTACGCAGACATAAAGGACAGTGGTGCATTCAGTGCTGTATTACCCTTAAGGCCACCTACCTAAACCGACCATCCCCTGCACTGCACACTTGAGAGGAAATACAATGTTGTACCTATATCCCTTAATGGCTGAATGCAACTGAAAGAGCAGAAGAGGAAAGGGAGAATAAAAACCAGGGAACACAGAGTGTATTTTTCCCTACAGGCAATGCTAAATGGGAAAGTCGTGCTCCACACAGCTTACATACGTCAGTTCTGAGATCTCTCCTTCTGCAAAAAGTGAAGAGACAAGCACTGGTAGAGAATGAACAGCACAGATACGATTAGTCGTCTGCCTACAAAGCTTTCTTTGAAGTGGGGATACCTCAGGCATCTCAGAAGCAGATGTATTTGACAAAAAACCTGATGTTCGCAATTCTAAGCGAGCGGCAGAACAAAAGCAACACGCAGGGATAAACAGAGTTCACATCAGGCCATGGGATCCGGCTTGCAGTTCAAGGTTATCCAACAGTGCTGTGGCTTGCAATCCCCGAGGAGAGGCAGCGGGGTGGGTTCTGTTGTTGTTTTCACCAGGGCACAGCTCCCTGAACACGCAGAGCCTCTCTGGCTCCGTCCGCAGGCTCTGGAGTGGATGGGGCAGCAGCTGTTCCAGGTGCTCTTTCCTCCCAGCACCGATGCCCTGACACTAAACTTCAGGCCTCCCAGCCAGCTGCAAAATGCCATCTCAGTGCCTATCTGTGAGAAGGCACATTCAGCCTCACCATAAGCCTACTTATATCACTTGCAAAACACCCAGTAACTCCATCAGCAGAATCAAAACTCTAAGCGTAGGCAAATTCCCCCCCCCCCCCCCCCTTCCAATAAATAGTGAATTGCTTTAACTAGATATTTACACCCTGGACCCTTGCCTCAAGCCTCCAAGTCCCTTCTGTGAAGCTGCTTCAGTCTCTGTGCAAAGAAGAAAGAGAATGTCATAACATCCCCTGGGTGCTGGTTGAAAAGCTGCCTGCAGCCCAACCTCCAGCCCTCCAGAGCTGGAGAGTCTGTCCTGGGCACCACAAGGACAGAGGCCCCATTGCCTCTGTGGGCAACCTGCTCCCATCTGCGTGACCCTCATGCAGAAAGCACTTAGCAGGTTTGCTGTTCTTGTACAGAAAAGCCAAAGGGTCACTGTATGATAACTCTAATCGTTTCTAAAAGGGAAGATTCATACGCTAAATTAAATGAATCTTGTTATTTTTTTTTCTAGTCTTTCTTTCTGACAAAAGCCTGACAAAGAAGCGAAAAGAAAAAATGCTCCAATTTATTACAACTTACATAGAAGTCATTTCAAAAATCTCTCAGCGATCACATGCTGTTTTCATTACTTTCACCCAATTAAATTTTGGCTGCGAGACCGCATTTTAAAACCTGACCTTCCACTGAAGTTGAGCTGCTATTGACTTTCTTTGGAAAAAAGCCCAGCCTATTAAGAGTAACAGTGAGTTTCAACTCCTCTTAACTTATTTTTCTCCGTTTTGAATGCGTTTATTTTGATTTATGATACAGCATCCAAAATACCTAACTCTAGAATGGAGCTCAACTCCAGCTTTCAACTAATTAAAGAAATTATCACATGTACGAAACAGAAATTACTGCCTGAAGATACAGCTGGTAAACCAGAATGACAGAAGCAATTGCCTGGAAGTACGCCCGATCCCCACTGAGTCTGTATATTCCCAGAACTACAGGGCATGCAGCAACACCTCCCTCAACCCCAAAGCAGGGCTCTTTTATTCATACCTGAGATGTGGAAGAGGCTTGGAAAGCTCAGACCTGCTGCTTTCAAGGCACCCTGTGCATGGGTTGCAGGAGAGCCGGGCAGAGCGCTCAGCAGCCTGTCAAGCACTAAATCAGGAACAGCTTTATGTCCCATGACCAACACCTCACTCGTGCTCCACCCAGAAACCCTGCAGGTGAGCAGCACGCTCCCACCCTGCCACTTCTGCCCTCCCAACCAGCTACACCTCCCTCATAAAGCCAGCTGCTTTAATTTCCAACTGGATTTAAAGGCTAACCTTGATGCCTCGTTACTTCCAATGGGACAGAGCCAGGGTGCCCTGTTCCCTTGGCCAAGTGACCTACAAACCCACAGACCCCAAAAGCTTTCCCAGGAATCACAGAGCTCTTCCAGCAGGCAGCACCTCTGGACTGTGAACTGGGACATCTGCATGAAGCTGAGCTTTTATACCATAAAATGTTTCAGGTGCAGTTTGCACGAGACATTCTGCAAACTAAAATAAATAATTAGAGGCATAATAATACAGCTGGCACACGCTTCTCTCAGCCCCAGGAGCTTGCTATAAGAATAGCTTGGCCTTCCCACTCATCTGGTAAGTGGTTCAGCTAGAATCACGGTGCTAGCACACATTATCCTCTCCAGAAATCACGCTTTGCTGAGATATGTCAGGGTACACCCATGGAAAACATGTCTTCACACAGCTGCCACGGGGTTTAATAATGAAATCCGGGCATATTCATTAAAAAAATTAAGTAAAGGCAAAAACAAAGCATGCCTACTTGGCAACGCTTCCTCACTCATTCATGAAAGTAGCAACACAGTGCTAGGAAGAGCCCGGTCGCGCTTCCAGCACAAATAGATCCAGTGCTCGCCCAGCACCGATCGCAGGGTGAAACTGAGGATCCAAGGGCTCTGCCTGCAAGCCATTTTCCTTAGAAGAAGGAAGAATTTGGGCCAGAACGTTAAAATTACATAAAGGAAAAGCAGAGAACTACTATTTTTTTAATTTTTTTTTTGGGGGGGGAAAGATTATTTTCCGTTTATTTCAGGTACGCCAAGCTCTCACACGTCTCGTCCTTTAAGAAACATAAAGAAGCTCAGCTCCTATTTTGCAGCCTACGGACACGCTTCATGTCGTATCGTATCGCGACCTGCTTCCAGCCCCAGCTGTGCTGACAGAGGCACGGCACAGCTCTGACCCGCGCGGATGGCAGCAGCCCTGTGCCACCATTCGGGACCCGCGAGCCCGAGGAGCTCCTACAGCACGTTCACTGAGGCAAACCGTGCAGGCGAAGAGGAGGAAGAGAAAGAAGGAAGGAAGGAAGGAAGGAATGCAGGCAGGCCGCCCGGCTCGGTTCCGCACCGCCGCGCTCCCCGCGTCCCCCTCGCCGCTCACCTGCCGCTGCCGCCCGGCAGTCGTGAGGAGGCGGCCCCGCTCCGGCCCCGTCACCTGCCGGATCTCAGCCGCCTCCGAGCGGTCCCGGCCTCGCCCGCCGCCGCCATCCCGCTGTCTGCCGGCCGGGCCCGGCCCCCACCGCTCGCAGCTCCGCCCCGTGTCCTGACGGCGCGCTGACGGAGCAGGGCCCGGCCCCGGCGCGGGCGGGAGCGCGGGAAGGCTCGAAGTGGAGGTTGGGACGGGCCGCGTGAGGTAAGCTGAGCCGAGCCGAGCTGAGCTGAGCGCGGCCTGGGCCCGGCGCCCGGCCTGGGACGGGGCAGCTCTTGGTCCGCACCCCGAGGGGCTGCGCGGCTCTGGGGCCGCTGCTACGGCGGTGAGGCCGCCTGAGCCTCTCTGTTTTCCTCCCCGTTTTGGGGTCATGCTGGGTTACGGCCCTATTGGGGTGCAGCGCTTCCAGCCACCGTGGGCGGGATTCCCCATCTGGAGCTCTTCCTAAAGTCTTTTCACGCTGGATGTGGTAATGCCGAGCTTTTCTTTCTTTCTCTTTTTTTTTTTTTTTTTGGTGTGACTGTCATGTGAGGGGATGCTGCTTTTCTATTTGCTGTAAGGAAACGGGATTGTTTTTCTACTCGGGATAAACATCACCTCATACAGAAAGAGCAAAAAGGGCCCCGTATATGAGATAAATCCCGCGGTGAGGTATTAACTGTGCTTGACAGAGGTCTGTGCTTCTTCCTGTGATTCTGTGATTCTTTCTTTAAAAAAATTGATGTTATTTCCCACCCTTGTTTGACAGGGAAGAAGAAAAATGCCGTCAGCACAAAAGCCGATGCGGTACGGACACACGGAGGGACACACGGACGTGTGCTTTGATGACAGCAGCAGGTAACTGCCCCCAATCCTAGAGAGAAGGGGAAAATATCATCATAAAAATCATTCCAGGGATGGGACACCTCCCTGCGAGGACAGGCTGAGAGCTGGGGCTGTGCAGCATGGAGAAGGGAAGGCTTCGGGGAGACCTGAAAGCCAGCTTTGGGTATCTGAAAGGTCTGTAAGAAAGAAGGGGACGGATTCTTTAGTGGGGTCTATTGTGACAGGACAAGGGGAAATGGTTTCCAACTAAAAGAGGGAGAGTTAGATTGGTCATAGAAAAGATGTTTTTCACAGTAAAGGCTGTGAAGCACTGGCACAGGTTGCCCAGAGAGGTGGTGGATGGCCCTGCAGACACCTGAGGTCAGGCTGGATGGGGCTCTAAGCACCTGATGGAGCTGTGGATGTTCCTATTTATTGCAAGGAGTGGGACCAGGTGGCCTTGAGGGGTCCCTTCCAACTCAAACAACTCTGTGACCACCTAGGGGATGGATGGTCACATTCCTGTCTGTTGCTTTCTGAGAATTATCTCTTCAGCTGCAATACTGGACAGGTGGACCTATGACCTTGCTTGGTCTGGCACATCCTTTATTCGTCTTTGTTGAGAACAGTAGGTGTGTAGGACATACAGAGTCATTAAAGTTGGAAAAAGACCTCTAGGATCAACCATCACCCCCAGTATTGCCTACTAAACCATGTTCCTTAATAGTGCATTTCCATGCTTTTTAAACACCTCTAGGGATGCTGACTCCACCACCTCCCTGGGCAGCCTGTGCCAGCACCTCACCTCTCTTTGGGATCAGTTTCCTATCCTATTCCTATTATGTTTCCTAATATCCAACCTGACTCCCCCCAGGTGCAACTCAAGGCCATTACTTCTCATCCTATCACTGGTTACCTGGGAAAAGAGGCCGACCCCTACACACACACATGTATAAGATCCTGTATATATTCTCTTTTACAGAAGTGATTTCATAGACTCTAAATGTATCTTGGAAGAAAATATGTTTGCATATGCTGTAAGAAGTCAAAGCTATATCTGTCTCCAGCAAACTTGACAGTTGAACACCATGTTAATATTTTTATGGTTCTGTAGGTCTGAAACGTGTTAAGCTTGTTAAACTTAAGTCAAGTGTGTGTTAACGCTCTTAGTTCTGCCCTCAGCTGCAAGGTAGATTTTCAGAGGTTTAAGAAGCAATTAAATGCTCAGCTGGCAGTGAAATCAGTGCTCTGAAAAATTCCATCTAGATCCTGGTGAGCATGGATTGATAAGTAAAGTTCAGTTCAGTAGTGCCAGGCCTAACGGGTTCTCAGAGACAGCAGCACCGTGTTGTGCTACCAGACTTGTATTTTTTGTCATGTTTATTAAGTACAGTGTTCAGTGAATTATGATTCATATGTATTGTGTTGCAGTAAATAAAAAACAACCTACACTTCGTTTTCATTTGGTTCAAATCCTGTGTCTTTGAACAGCTGCATCGTAACTTGCGGCAGTGATGGAGACGTTAGGATTTGGGAAAACCTGGATGACGATGATCCAAAGTCCATTAATGTTGGAGAGAGGGCTTATTCATGTGCTCTGAAGGTATGGTAATTAACAGATCTGTTAAATTGTGTCGTGCTGATGTTGATATTTGTCTGTTGAGATACTGCTGGTGTTCTTAAGTGACGTTTACACGTAAACTGAGGTAATATCTGGAAAAGGCAGGAATGATATTGTGTGCAGCACATCAGTCTGTTTGTCTTCACATCAATGTATGGGAAACAGCATTGAGTGGGGGTTGATCAGTGGCAGGTTTTGTTTAAAGTTGAGCATACCACCACTTGGTATCTTTGTGTCGGTGAAAATATTTAAGTAATACTGAAAAACACTTTTCAAAAAGCCTCTAGAATTGTTGAATATTTTAGCTAAATGAAGTACTTTATGTAAACAAGAGTACTTCTAACAATTCATTTTTCACCGTGTAGGCTTGTAGAGGAATTATTCATTATACTAAATCTCTGTAATGTTCTTTTTTTCCCCTCTCCCCTCACAGTCAGTTATAATTATTCCAGACTTTGATCTCCTTCTTGAAAAACAAACCAAGCAGATTAAACTCATTATTCAGTGAACTCTGTAGACTGTTTCAGCATTTTCTCACAATGTCAGTCACTAGAAGTTTCCCAGCAGTTTATGGTGCAGCTGATTCCTGCTCTTCTGCCCATCCCAGCTCAGAGGCTCTGCACTGCTGTTGAAGGGTATATGAAAATAGAAAGCCAAAAGCTTGTTTTGTGTGGCTCTGTTCTGAGGTCCAGGGAATTATAATATTTGTTAATCAAAAAATTACTTTCCTGAGTCAGTGTCTGGTAATGCTTTGATTTTATATATATATATATATTAATTTTATATATATATATTAATATTAATATATATATATATATTAATAATTAGTTGATATTTAGCTCTCAAAATTGGTACTAGACCAGAATTCAGACATTTTGCTCCCCTTTGTCCCTTCCCCTCCCTTTCCGAGTCGGAGGAGAACAAGATTTGTCTTTAATAGTAATTAATGTAAGAGCATACAGATTAGAGGCTCTTCTGTCACTTGGCTGACTTGTTCTGCTGTTTGAAGTATGGCCTGCTCTGTTTATTTCAATGCTAAGGCAGTTCCTTGTAGTGAACTAGATCTAGATCTAGAAACTGTGGTTGTAAATAAGAAGGTAAATAAGTTAACTTTATAAATTTGTGTAATAGAAAGTAATTCTCTTTAATACACTTCTTCGTGTATTTAGCTTGAGAATTCTCACACAAATTCCTTTGTGTGCAATTATTGTTATGTTATGTTAGTAATGGAGGGTCCAAAATGTTGTCTTTATGGCAGAAAGGAATTCTAGAAGTCTCCATCTGTTCTTCAGGTATCATAAAATAAACTTTGCAGGGATAAAGGAGAATTTAAAATTGGTTTTCAACTCGTTGTGGTTTTGAAGGGGAGTCTAACAGATGAAATAAATGAGAATTCATACAGATGTATGATTTTAAAGCTAATTGTTTGAAAACATATTCCGAATTACTGCCTTAAAACATCTTTCTTCTTTTTCAGACATTCCTTGTATCTTCCTTTTAACATAACTTGTGCACATTCCCCAGTCCCCACTGCTTTGAGTGTGTTTTGCTGTTGGTTTTCATCAAGTCACTTCCAGTTGCTCACACAAAGTGAGGGGGTTTTGAGTGAGTTCATCAGTGTCAGAAATGGTGAAAATTAGTGCTGAATACAGGAGGGAAACATCTTGGTTGTAAGGTTTGGACATCAGTGGGAACAGTCGTGTGTTCTTAGTTTATTTGAAAGGACTTTTAGCTCTAATCTCTTGTTTTTCTTATTTTGTCAGGTTATTTAGCACTGACCACTGCTTTCTTTTTGTTCAACATCTTCACTGTAACTTTAGGCTTCTTTAAAAATAAGGAAGAAATGCAGCATTTTTCAGTACGCTGCCAAAACTTGTTGCTGCATGCAAGTGAGGAATAATATTGTCACTTCAGGAAGACATGCTACTGTTCCAAGCTTAGGATAATTATTTCTTTGTTTTGCAATCAATTTTAACCTGGAATAATTTTTTAGTAGACATCTCCCTTCTGTTTCTGAAAAGGACAAAGCTCATGAACTTCTCATCTTTCCCTAGTGAAGTTTAACTGTCAAGTTTGGTCCAAGGCTGCCCTCTCCTGATGATGTAGCATATTGATCGACACAGGGTGCAACATCCTTCCTGTTCTAAGAGCTTTTTTACCTATTTAAAAGGATGGGTTTTTTCTGTCTGACTGAAGAAGAGCAGACAGTTCTCTGAAATTCATTAGTGACTTTTCAGGGTATTTGTTATTTTAGTGAATATGCAATTACAGAATCACAGAACCATAGAATAGCCAGGGTTGGAAGGGACCTCAAGGATCACGAAGCTCCAACCCCCCTGTGCCATGCAGGGCCACCAACCTCCCCATTTCACAGCAGCCCAGGCTGCCCAGGGCCCCATCCAACCTGGCCTTGAACACCTCCAGGGATGGACGGGGCATCACAGCCTCTCTGGGCAGCTGTTCCAGCACCTCACCACTCTCACAGTGCAGAACTTAAGTTGGGAAGGTCTCGATGATGTAAATTGCCATATAGTTAACATAATGAATTTTAACTGTACTGAAACAACTGGAGTGTATTTCTACAGCACTGAAACAAGGAGAATCATTGTATTAGTTTTTAAGTAGTTGGGTTAATGTGAGAAAGTAGTAAAGTTGTTGTGCTACTCTGTATTTTTAATGGAAGAAATACAAGGTAAAAGAGTATTTCCCCCACTACTTTTGCTGTCACATGTCTTTTTGGAACTACTAAAGTCAATCTGCCCAAATATTGGAACATCAACTCATTTCTTTGGCTTCTTGGGCATAAATGTAGTTTCACCAGTACATTTTATGTTGTTGCTTGTTTTTCTTTTGTTCACTTTTTAGAATGGCAGATTGATCACAGCAGTATCAAACAACACTGTTCAGATACACACGTTTCCTGAAGGAGCTCCAGATGGCATCCTTACCCGTTTTACCACAAATGCAAACCACGTTGTCTTTAATAGTGATGGTACCAGAATTGCTGCTGGATCTAGGTAATGTGTGCATCATAAGGAAAGGCATTGCTGTCGTTCAGAGTGTGGCAGCTTCCTCACACAGTGATTTTTACCCTGGGGTTATTAATCCACATACCTCTGAGGTTTTAAAGTAATGCGTAATGCCTTCCAGGGAGGGTGGCATTGGGGGAATGAATGAAAAGAACTGTTAAGCAGCAATTCTCTGGGAGGCATTTGATCCACTAAATAGTTTTAGGAAGGAAGTGTGATGTTGTGAAATAATTCCTGCTCTTGAGGAGCTTTGAATGTTTTCAGCTTTCAGTCCTGTAATGCAGAAGCACAAGTGTTTGCCCGCATGGATCTCACTGCAGCATCAAGGATTTTGTTACTGCGTGCTAAAGATAATGGCCTGTCTCATCAGCGTCGTAATGTGGCAGATGTATGTATGCACACATGCAGAAGTTGGCTGAGTGCTGATCTGATGAGCTTTTTAGGCACTGTGGCTAATCCAGACTGCCTACTTGCTTCTCTGTTGGAATTTGTCCTCCATCCCTGCAGCAGAGATGGCTAAACATTACATCTGCTGCCTGCCTCCTCGAAGTGTGAAGTGAACTAGAAAGCAGTTTGGATCGATGCTGGGCTGTAAAGCCTGGCAGCTGCAGAGCAGACATGCCAGCTCCACCAAAAGTGGGAGACTGGAGAGCTGGGGGCAGTAACTGCTTTAATCTCTAAATCTGACAGAGATCATGAATTTGGGCTCTTTGCCAGTGCTCATTTCTGAGGGAACAGCTCTGCCCCAGGCTGTGACTTTGATTTGAGAGATAGAGCAGACAGGAAATTCCTTCTGCTTCCAAAAACTTTTACCCCCCAGTCAGTACTTCTACAGCCTGATCAGGGCCCTCACATGAGATGCTGTAAAATTGAGCTCCCCCCTTGATGAGACCTTCTGTAACACACTGAAGGAGGTCGACAGCTGTGGCATAAGGGAGTACAGCTAAGAAGAATTGCTTTTGTTATCACAGATTTCTCAGTTTTTCAGTGAAGTCTGTACACTTCAGTTTTGTGGCAGCGTAATGTAGTTAAAGGAATGGCTAATCTTATAAAATGAGTGCCTAAAATTAAGTTCCCCTTTGAAAACATAGCAGTGAAGTAGCACAGGGAACAGTACCGAAAGATTCTGACAGGAGCTCTTTGGCTTAGAAGTTATTAGCGTGGCTGCTTTGAATTCAACTGTAGTGATGTTTGTCATTTTGGAGGAGGGAATAAAGTTTAAAAAAATGTAAATAAGTGATAATAATAATAACAAATATGTAGATCTGATACTGGTCTTAATAATCTTGTTAACAGCTTTACAAGATGAAGCATTTGCTCTACCTTTTTTGACCAAGAGAATTATTTGTTCCATTTAACAGGTAGTTCTTGTAAAGTCAGCTTTTGGTATCTAAGCACCAGTTTTCCCTCGAGTTCATAAAATACTGTGTTTAGCAGCTGTGTGGTCTGTATGTATGCCATGTCTTCAACCATATTTCATGAACTTTCATTTGAAAGAAAATTATCTTTTGATGAAGATAATCTGTCCTTGCTCTTATTGTAACAAACGTTCAGACTCTTCTCCTTTAGGTTGTTCTTCCCAGCAGATAACTGTTGTCCAAATTGATGTTTATTACTGTAAACAAATACTCTGTCACCATTGATACCAATGCTAATGCTTTTATCTCTGTGCTGCTGTAATCTACAGTGACTTCATGGTCAAAGTTGTGGAGGTGGCTGACAGCAGCAAACAGAAAACGTTCCGAGGACATGATGCACCTGTTTTAAGCCTGTCTTTTGACCCCATGGATATTTATCTGGTAAAAATACTTCCTTGTTTACTTTCTACCTTGAATTTCCTTTTCCCTGTGAGAAAAAAAAAAAAGAAATATTTGTTGAGTGAAATGAACAAACAGACAGAACCAAGTGAGTGGGCACATAAATCTTCATTGCAGTTAACTACTGAAACTACTTGGAATTACCAAGATGATTTGACAGAAGGTTTTAAGTCTTAAAACAGTTTAAACAAGGAGGCTTTCTTTTTAAAAGTGCTTATGCATTCTATATCTGAATTGTTGGTTATAGCATTTAAGTTCATTTGCAAAACTCTCTTCCATAGGCATCAGCAAGCTGCGATGGTTCTGTCAGAGTATGGAAAGTGGAAGATCAGGTAAGAGGCATTCCTTTCTGAGTTGAGTGTTTCATGGGAAAACAGGGATTTCGCAGGCAGCAAAAGGAACTGGACTGAAATAACCTTGCTGGAATAAATGCTGCTTATGTTTTTATGTGCTATCAGTAACAGCTGACAGCATTTACAAAAACTGTTTATATAGGGGGGTTCATATGCATGTGAAAGGACAGCTATACTTTAAAACACCTGGAAGAAGACATGCTGGATGTTGAATACTGGCTTTTTTTAGTAAGAAATTTGAGTGTACTTTATAGAATGCTTTTATCTATTTCTGGGAGAAATTCTGAGCTGGAGCATGAAATGCTGCCTGGGCTCTGGGCTGTTATCCTGTGGAATCCCTGATTTTTTTTCTGTCCATCTTTCTTAATTGGCCAACATCATGTATTTTGTCCTCAGCATATTCAAAAATAACCCTCTGTGCAAAGGTGACAGCACTGGATGCCTTTTTGTCTTAGAATTACAGAATCACAGAGTGGTTTGGGTTAGAAAGGGCCTTAAATATCATCTAGTCCTTACTCCCCTGCCATGAGCAGGGATACTAGGGTTTCAGAATATCATCTGTTCCTTTCAGGATTACAGAGTAAACTTTATGCTAATAAACTGTTGTCTAGGTGTGTTTTGTTTTCATTTACCTTTCCTGAGCTCTCTGTGAATTACCAATCAATTTTCAGACTGACTAGTGGCTTCTTTGACTTGGGTTTAGGAAGGGATTTGGGATTCACATGCCATGATCTCTTCTCACTTGTGACAGGTGACAGGATGAGGGGAAATGACCTCAAGTTGCACCAGGGTAAGTTTAGGTTGGCTATCAGGACAAACTTGTTTACAGAAAGGGTTGTTAAGCACTGCAATGGGCTGCCCAGGGAGGTGGTTGAGTCACCATCCCTGGATGTGTTGAAGAACTGTTTTGGTGTGGTGCTCAGGGCCATGGCCTAGCAGTTAGGGTAGTATGGTCAGGTTGTGGTTGGACTTGATGATCTTTAGGGTCTTTTCCAACCTGGGCAATTCTGTGATTCTGTGTTCAGTGAGATGATGCCCACTTTCCTTGGTAGAGGTCTTTGTGCAGTGGTGCATTCATCTCTCTTGCTCTCTGCCTATGGCGCACAAACCTGGTTTGCAAAGGACTCAAAGTTCAACTTACTGCATTTCAGTCTTTTTTATTTGTGGAGATGGGGCCATGTTGTAGTGAGTCCAAGGCTATTGAGAAGGGACTTGGTATGCTGTTTTTTAGAAACAATCAAAAGACAACAGCAAAAATAATCAATTGCAAACTTTACAGCAGTTTTTCTCACATAAGAGGGATGTAAATCACAGATTGAAGAACATAATACTTAAAAATTACAGTCATTGGGCTCAGCTTAGCAATATTTATGTATTCAGGGCACGTAAGCAATAAGATTTGGTGAGCCTGCTGTCTCTGCTGGCCTTGCAGTCTAAAGAGCTTGAGAAGAAGCTTTCAAGTGAACCTATAATAAAGCAGTTCTGCATATACATATGGGATTGTTTTTGCTAAATGCTATTACTGACTGGACGAAGTATCCATGCAGAATTATTCCTGTAAGTATAATTAGGAATGTACTTTGCTTGTGCCATTGCTACTTTTTCAAACAAAAACATACTTCTAATGTGAATTTCATACTGACAGTGGGTGCCTTTTAGGGCACTTAGGCTAACTGTGTCCTGGGGCTGTGTCAGTGATGTATGGCATCTGTGCTGTAGGAAAACTTAGCAATGCATTCATCTTTACATTGCTGTTGTAAGATTCAATCTGCTGTGTGTCACCTTGCTGCAGTCAGTCTGGATTTGACAAGAGGAGTTTGGCCAGATTTCTCTCTTTGTAACCTAAATGTATGAAGCTCTTTTGTTCTGTATGTCATTAAAAATACTTCTGCTGTAATCTTAACTCATAAGTACTTGCATTGTAATTAAATATTTTCAGGTCTACATTGGCAAAGTATTTTTCAGTCTTTTTGGATATATATATATATATATATATATATATATTTTTTTTTTTAAAGTAGTAGGTACTTGTATGAAAGAGTTTATTTCAGTTCTAAAAATTATATGCCTTTTTTCCTTCTAGCTTTTTCCACAGAATCACAGAATGGCCCAGGTTGGAAGGGACCTCAAGGATCACGAAGCTCCAACCCCCCACCAATGCAGGGCCACCAACCTCCACATTTCACAGCAGCCCAGGCTGCCCAGGGCCCCATCCAACCTGGCCTTGAACACCTCCAGGGATGGACGGGGCATCACAGCCTCTCTGGGCAGCTGTTCCAG